TTAATGATAATTTGTTACATTAAATGAAGAAATGATTATTTCTGAAATGTAAAATTTTAAATAAACTTATTATAAAAAAAAATGCATGAATCTGAGCCTAGAATGTCTTACAATATACTTATGTTGATCACTAAAGCTTGAAACATAGCTCCTATGTAACCTTTCAAAAGCAACTTGATCATTTGATCATTTTTCACACACATTCCAAGAGCATAGAAAGCAAAATATACACGTTAAAAAAATACATCTCAGGTCAAACAAATTTTTGTGCACAGTCATGCAACTTTTTTCCATTCTAAATTCAATTGAAGTCATATGTTTCACAACATAAAAAAGATCAATAATCCATTTTGTCACATGTGATAAAACAAATGTACACTATGCTATAGAACTATAGATGCTGGTTGCAATTCTTGGTGATGGTTGCAACCATATTTGCAACATATAAAAATGGTTTGTGACACCTGGTTGCAACCACCTTTGGAACCACTTTGGCTTCCTTTTTTGGATTGCAACATGGAACACTAATTGGAACAAGATATCAAATCTGAACTTATAAAATTATATGACTCTTCATCTAAATGGTAATCAAATAATAAAGCTATTTCATTGATTATATGTAATCAAATTAATTTTCGTGAAATTATTTATTCTAGTGATATAATTAGGATTGGTGTGGTGGATTTTGAAAAAGAATATAATAGCTCTAATTTTGTCAAACTCAAAAATAAATTTACTTTAAGATCCCAAAAAACATTCTAGAGATGATTAAAAATATTTCTAAAGTCAAGACACTAGAAGAATCAGAAAAACTTCTAAAAAGGATCTACAGTAGCCATTCATTATTTAGCTCAGAAATTAGATTGAGTTTGGAAGTGGCGATAAGAGCATCTGCAGAAAAAATGTAATCATATAATAATATTCTTTCAGAGGATAAATAATACATATAACTGATTTGAATTTACTTAATAATACTTAAAAAAAATTTTAAAAGATTTAGGTATTTTAGTCTTGATACATTTTATTGGGAAAGGAATGTATCAGAGAGTCATATAAGCCATGGAATGTTCTTAGACTTATTTGTAAATTTATTTTATGATGGAATGAAATATTTAGTAGATGACCAAAAGTATAAGAATTTTTAGAATTTAATCTTTGTTGCACATTTTCAGTTATCTAATTTTAGATTTTATATATTACAATTACATTTCAGAGAACTTTTAGCTAATAAAAGCCATTGTATCTCCTTACTTGTTGGAAAAAACTCTGTAAAGGCATTGGTTCCAGATATTAAAATACTTTTAGAAAAAGAGATTTAGAATGTTTAGTAATAGAACATGGAAAATTTGAAGCAGTAATTGATAATGGAAAAGCATTAAGTGATAGAGGTATTGTTTACTAAAAAAATATATATTAAATAGTTTATATATTTGTTTCAAGCAATTAAAATAATTTAAAAATTTTTATTAGATAAATTATGCACTCTATTGCATGATATGCTTCATTCATATCATAAGTTATTAAAAAAAGGTGAAAACTAGTGATGTTAGCCGGCTAATAATCTGCATGCATAATTTCTAAATTTGGTAATAGATTTCTGCATTACTTTCTTGTTATAGAAATAAAATTACCAATTTAGGTAGTAAACGGCTTAGCCGGCTAAGGATTTTTAAACGGCTAACATCATTAGTGAAAACAGAGGCAAAATAAATCAGATCTATCACTTGAAAGCCTTTAGAATTTTAACATCAAGTAAATTTTAAAAAAAAAAAATTTTTAAATATGTATTATTTTACATATATGTATGATTTTCTAAACTCATTAATATTCTTATAGAGCTCAACCTGAAAATATATACATTATTACTCCCATTTCCTTAACTATATATATTTCAATGTATTGGAGAACAGTGTATAAAATTCATGTGCACAATGAGATAAAAATTTTTGTGCAGACTCTCCACAAAAATTTTAAATATAGTGCACAAATTCAATGAGAAACTTTGCACTATTACATTTTTTAATATATATAATGCAAAAAAAAAAATCAAAAACTAAACTACTTACAATTTGTTGTGCATACATGCACAATTTTTAAACAACTTTTGCACAAATCCTCAAAAAATTTTGTGCAACATGCACAAAAATTGATCAGTGAGTTTTATACACCGTTGGAGAATGTTCCTTTCCCAAAACAATTCCTAATATAGATCAATTGAACATTGCTTTGAATTGTTAATAAAACTTAGGGTAAGGTTTTTTATAATTTAAAAATTCCACATACTGATTAGACTTAGTTTTCATTATATTTAATGATCATCAATAGTTTCTTGTTGGCAAGAACCTTGAGGAGTTACAAGATATTTTGGAGACACCTCCTGGTGAGGGAACTTCAGATGAAGAATGGATAATTAAACAAAATTTAACTCCACAAGACATATTAAGAATTAAAAAAAATGAAAGTCTCAGTCAAACTCCATTATTGGCATTTGAAGATTCAAATGAAGAATGGATAATTTAAACAAATTTAACACCACAAAGTATATCAAGAATTAAAAGATATTCTATCAATGAAGAAAGTCCTAATCAAAGTCTATTCTTGGCATTTGAAGATTCACTTATTTAATATTAAAATGGTTGATATGTTATCTTTATTAAAATTAAAATTATATATTAATGGTATAAATATGGTATATCAAAATTTTTCAAAATTTTAAAAAACCAAAAAAAACTTTTAATAAAAAAAGATATTTTTACTATTGCTACGATTCTGCGCAGGGAAACATCCACTATTAGCTTTGTTTTATTAGTTGTGATTTCTTTCTTCTTGGTAAATTTCATAAGTAATTCTTTCTTTTCTTAGATAAGCTTCAAGTGTTTGAATATCTTTTATTTTGAAAATGTAAGGAGCAATTTTTTCTCCTTGTTCTTTCTTCAAAATACTTCTGATAGTACTATAATCTTGGGTTCCACATAATGGATCTGATATAAATTAACTTCATATTAACTATTTTATATAGGGGCAGTTCTATATATCACTTAACAAATGGGGCTTTATAAACTAATTGTGATGATAATAAATAGTAGTTATCCCCCGCAAAGTGGGGGATAAGAGAGTTATCCCTCGCTTCCTTATGGTTTTTAAAAAAAGCTTATTTCCAAGAAAAATAAATCTGATAATATTAATGACAAGTCATCTTCCCAGAGTTCTCAAAGAAACACACCTCACTACCAAAATTTTACAAATGAACTTCATTAATTATTGAATATTATAATAAAATAATTCTACCTAGCAGTGATAAAAAATAGCATACCTCAACAATTACAAAAGATAATAATTTATTTGAATAATTTGTTAATAAAAAAAAATTTGATATGAATTACTATTGCTAATTTTTTTGTAAAATTGATTCACATCTTTTTTCTAAGTTCCAAATATTATTTAGATAAGATCTCATGTTTCCAGATTTTCTAGATTTTACCAATTAAAATAAAATAAATTCAATTATTTTTGGAAATATAATAATTGCTCTAAAGCCTATGTCTCAAAATTTTTAAATAAATTATTTTTATTACTTTTTTAGTTAGAACTAAAATTTCAAAAAAGTAAATAATTTTGTCTGCCAAGGAAGATTGAAGCTCTCAATAATGTGAACGAGTGTAACGTTATGGCAGTAATACCGATTGCTATACTGCTCAGTAATTTTTTTAATTCATTGATTATTATTTTAATAAGAAACTTTTACCGGTTCCTATTAAATACAATTTTAATCATTAGAAATTTCTATGTACATATATGTTGTACGTGAAAATGAAATTATGTGAATTCGCAATTCACATACATGAAATTCAAATTAGCCAATCAGAATTTCACCCACTCCATAACATTTAATTTCATTTTCACGTACAACATATAAATATATTTATTTATGATCTCATCAAAAACTGTTTTCTTTTAATTTAGTAGTGAGAGAGTTCCTTGATTAATTGTCCCTTCCTATATTTACGTTAGTTATCAGTCACTAACCGGTACAATTTATGTTATCTCCTCAATCAAATAAAGAGAAACGAAATAAGGAAATATATACAACTATACTACTTGAGGCATCCCTACAAGCAATATAGTAAATCAAAAGGATTCCTAGTTAATAATTAAAGTTGGCCAAGCCATTAATCATTAGAAGAATCATCATTATGAATCAATCACACTGGTTTTATTAATTAATTACAGTCAAAGACTATTTTATGTAAAAGTGCTATACTTATTAATGTTAAGATAATATTATTATTACCAAGGAGATTACTGAGCATAGCTTGGAAAATTCCAAGCGTAATTATATCTCTTGGAGTATTATAGTTTTACATGATTTCGTCCAATAAAATATACATAATAATAGAATGAAATAGAATGAGTTACAACTGTTAGACGCGTCCCCATGCTATAAAAGGAAATTATTGATAATGATCGGGATCCTTTGTCAGTCCATCTTCCTGCTTTAAGATTATTGTCCCTTTATGAACCATTTCTTCTTCATCTCCCGTTCCTTTCTTCTTTTTTTCTTTGGTCCCATGCCCACTTGATCTTGGACTTTTGTTTTTTTTTCGTCACGGATGTCACGTGCAAAAAAAGAAAGAATAATAATAATAATTTATAATAAACTATTTTGACTTGAATCATTCATTATCACCTTCAGCTGCTATATAAACAGTTCCTAGAAACTATAAAATATATCACATAAACTTATGAATTAATGCTATGTCTTGATATTTATTTTTGGATGTTGTGTAATAATTAGTAGTCTTTGCAGCGATAACAACTTTATTGTTATTATTAATTTGTTTATTTACCAAAGCAATTGCTAAAACCAACACATCTGTCAGCATTAATTATCATTGATTATCGATATGTACCATACAACTTTACAATAATAATACACATCTAAACTCGATAAGTCGGACATTTATTTATATTATAAATTACTTTAAACAATTGATTGCTTGCGTCCGACTTATCGAGTTGAGATGTGTAACATATCAGCCGATTTGTTTTTTTGGGCCTTTTTTCAAACCTTATGTCTTATTATGACTTGGTGTTAAACACGAGTATTTTTAATGTGTAAACTGGTCAGTAGAATGATAATTAACCCTAAAAAAAATATTTGCTCCGCTAAAAAAAACTATTTTACTATTCAACAACCCGTCAAACCAATGGGTTTTTGCTAGTATAAAGTATTCATAACGTTATGATCGTATCGTACTGGATTTTGGGGTTCAAACAAAATCAGCGCATATGATGATAATAATTTAAACAGATTTTGCTAAGATTTTTTCCACTGCGATTCCTACAAAATTTACCAAAAAATAAAAAACTATATTTATATATTTTTTTTATAAAAAAAAAAAAAAGGTTTTGAAAAAAAAATTTTTTATTGATTCTTGCTATCTTTTTTTTATTACATATATTTTGAAATCTTTAATTTTATAATGTTTATAAATTATACAAAAAAATTTATTTCAAATCAGCTTTATGACGTTGAATAAAGTCGTCAAGTGAAGAAGGATTTCTACCAGTCATGGTTTTAAATTCATGCGCAGTAACAAAATTTGTACGATGTGCTTTGACCAAATCGTAAAATTCAAGTAATAACATTTTTTCACTTTCATCTAACATCTACAGTATATATTAAATAGAAAATGAGAAAATTCCAAATTAAAATTATCATGTAATAAATGTGTGTAATTTTTTACCTTGACGTTTGATAAGATTTTCAAAGCCTCTTCATTAGAAATATCTTCAAATTTTATTTCTTTACCCACGACTTTCGAAATATGTTGAGCCATTTGTTGACCAGTCATTGCAGTGGGTCCAGTCATTGTAATTAATTGACCAGAATATTCCTTCATCTTGTCAGGATTAGATAACAATAGAGAAGTAGCTTCGGCAACATCCAATAAATCAGCTGGTGCAAATTTACCATCTCCACTTGGAATTGGAAGCGTTCCTTTTTTAATCTGTTCTTGGTACAACAAAAGATTTTGCACGTAAAAATTTGCACGTAAAATCAACCAATGTTCAAAATTGGCTTGTTTAACTAAATGCTCGATCTTTTGAAATTCGCAAAGGTGTGAGTGACTTTTCTGATCGGCAATATCAGTTGCTGCCATCGAAATCACAATACAATTCTTGACTTTTGCCTTGGATGCTGCATCAACTAAATTTTTGGCATGCCCGGCTTTATCTTTTTTCGTGGGAGGAATTAATACAACAGTGTCCGCTAATTATTTATATTAGAACAAAAAGTTGGTTAATTAATTAGAAATTCGTCGATTTTAATATTTGTTTTCACGAAGCATTAATAATGATGTAAATCTCACCTTTTTCGAAGATTCCAATATAATCTGAAGTAGATTTTGCCTTTATTTAAAAATAAAGGAAAAAAGAATTTTTATAAATTTTAAATTAAATTAAATTGAATTAATAAATATATTATATTTGTACCTTAGATATCGTAACACCTTTATCTTTCAAATCATTCGATTGAGGTTCATCCTCAGCAATGGCACAAATAGATTGAATTTTATTTTTTAAATCAGGTGTGGTAGCGAGATGTTTAGCAATTTCGTATCCACTAGTATCAAATGATGACAATACAATAATTAGGAACATTTTAACATGGGGAGCAAAAATAAATGATTATTTTTTGAAGGTAAGAAAAAACTTACGTGAATCCGTCGACCGAAGTGATGCAGACCTTCAATCGATAATTAAAAGGATAAAAGTAATATATTAATTAAAATTAATTCAAAAAAATTAACGAAGTGAAAAATATAAATCATTTAATTAATAATCACTTTTGGTTTAGACATGTTTTTTTATTAATCAAATTGAATTTATTTTTTGCAAATTTTGAGAAAGGGAAATTCCAGTTCTTTATAAAAGAGAGTTTTAGGATTTTTACTAATGATAATTTTGTTTAATTGATTTAAAAACATTGCGTAATAATTATTTCATGAGAAAATAATAAAACATTCGAAGCAACTCACACAAAACGTGATACAAATTTGTCGTAAACATCCTCCTCGTGATTGTGATATTAACGATTCATCACTGTTTCTTGTTTCTCATTTTAAATATTGTGGTAGTGTGTTGTTTAACTTGCTGAAATCGTCATCATGCATTCTTCATTTTATCTTCCCAGACATCAGTTTCGTTTTAGATATCAACATTTGATCAATAATTAATAATTCATATTTACCATCAATGTTAATAACAATATTAATCTTGGAGAATCAGCTTTAAAAGCTTTAACATCATCCCGTTCATTCATCATATTTTTGTCAATGGGTATTTACACCTTTGAAGTGAATCATAACTTTTAACGCTCCTTTTCGCAATGTAGATCATAACTTTGTTTAGATATATTAATAATAATAATATTTTAGCATTTCTAATTACATGAGAATCCAAATATTGTAATCAAATAAAATCTTCTCGATATTAAAGTAAATAACATCTTTATCACTTTGATTAAATAATTAATAATTATTAGCTCGTGAAGCACTCGCTTCTGATACTATCTGGCGCTAGCAATGTATGAATTGAATAAATTTGACGGGGTGATTTGGAAATTTACTTTCCCACAAGAAGGCAGGACGTAGACTGAGAGAATATATAAGAATCTAAAGAATCCTGATAAATAAATATATGTAAAAGAAACCCTTTGGAACCAACATAGCATCCCCATTTATCCATGACTTTGGACTAATTACTATATTGTGATAAGTGGTGGTGATAAAGATAGTTTAATTATAAAATTGTTGGGTTTTTTTTTCATGCTAGTGCGTACTTTATGATTACGTTCAACTAACTAGTGCATTTTCTTTAAATGATACATTTGTATATTTTTATTTAAGATCCAATATTAATAATAAATTCGATTTTTACAATCATTTTAGGTATAGGAAGGAATTTTTAAGTAGCATATAATGATCTTTTTAGAACAAATAGTTTTTTGCAATTGTAATACTTGTCCTGGACGGTGCACAGATACAGGTAGCATGAGTCATGTGCAAACTTTATAAAGCTAAATTTATCAATTATTACTTCACCCCTTGAATTAACGTATCGAAATGCAAGCTTAGTGTGGATATGAATATATCAAAAAGACAATCTGCAAAGTAATAAAATTTATGCATATCTATGTGAATATGATTATTCTACTGAATATGAAATGACCCTTATTTTCTTGAAAGTACATTAAGGTTGTGGTTGTGGTTACTCATCAAGAATTCTAAAAAAAAAGTTTTCAGAATTACGAGAGTTCTCCCTCAATCAGAACAAGATATATATTTTGATGAATCAGCTCGAGACCATGGATTATGGTGCAATAGGTATTGAAACTTTATTGCTGGAATCATAATATCAATATGTTGCAATTATTGCCGCCATCGTAGAAAAACGGAATAATTAGTCCCCATATACCAAACTATTGATCTTGTGACATTATACGGGTTCAAATAACAGACGTTCGAGGTGACAAAGTCATCAGAAACATTCTCAGTTGTGGGAAAAAAAAAGATAATTGGTGTTGTAATGACTATTACTATAGAAATAGGAATAGTGTTCTTTATTAAAATGTGCTAAATATACCTAAAAGGAAAAACATAATTTTTCCGCTATTTATTGGAAAAAGAATATTTTATAGTTCAAGTAAACAATTTCAATATCATTACACGGCCAGCATTTGCAAAAGGTTAAGGAACAGACCATATTAATATCAGCAGTCATCCATTGAAAACGTGTGTGACAAATTATGAAAGTTCATCGAAAAATGTTAAAAAAAATTCAGTGAATGGCAAGTATTTTGTATCAAATTTTTTTATTTGACAAAGTAATCATATACTGTATATCTTCTACATTATTTTCAACTTTAATTACGACAAATATTATGATAATCATAATAACAATGTCTGCCACATTGACCACCATTGCATTCGTTAAATCTGTCAGTGGCACTAATACTTTGAGTAAAGTGTCCACGACAAGATTAGATGATCGAGAACATGTAGAGTCCCAATACAAGGCTTTTCAATGTGTATAATAAAAATCGGCTTGAAGATATATGATACAATTGAATTGTTTGTAAGAAAGTATGCGTTCTCAATTTTTTTAAAACTTCCCAAAAATCTAAGCAAGCATGGGGTCAAATGAAAATGAATGATTTTGTGGTGACTAAATCTTGATCCCTGAAATTCCTTTGTAACACCCAATTGAAATTTGTGTTTCAACTAATTAATAATAATAACTCCTAATTACATTTATTTTTTGATTATCCGCAAAAGTTTAATTTAATATTGTAATATATATAATGTCGTGCTTTATCTTTTTCTCAAAGTAAAAACAATTTGCAAAAAAAAACCAAGAAATGATTAAAACATTCAAAACCAAACAACCTATTAACCCCAACTTGAAAAAAAATAATGCAAAAAAATATCGTTCCTTGTCAAAAAAACGATTAATACAATTCCATAATATTTTTTATCAAACGTTATGTCAATATAATCCAAATATAATAGCTATGGAAAATGACGAATTTTTAGAATATTTAGCTAGTCAAATTTGGGAAGAAGGAATTTTACAAAGAAAATTAAAAAATGATGATTCAAATGATTCTACTGCAATTGATAACAATGAGCTATTTGAGTTATCAGAACAAGAAATTATCGATAAAATTTTTGAAATAATTAATCAAGATTTTATAAATTTTGAAATTTGCAATAATGAAAATGAAATTTTGGAAATTTCTAAATCCATTCTGCAAAATTATAAATCTACTATTTCTCCACTCGTTGAAATTAATAAAAATGGGAACGAAGACGACGACAATGAAAATGACGAAGAAGAAGAACAAGAAGGAAACAACAAAGATGAGGAAGAAGAGGAATATGAACCTGGTACATGTCAATTATGTCATAGATATGTGCGGCTTTCATTTCATCACTTGATACCAAAGATGGTTCATAAACGAGTCATATCCAAAGGAATGTTCTCGAAAGAAGAATGTCAAACTAGAGGAATAAATATTTGTAGATCATGTCATTCCGCCTGTCACAAAATGATTTCTCATAAAGATTTGGCTTATTATTATAATACTCTTGATAAATTGTTGCAACACGATGGAATCGCAAGATTTGTTGAATGGAACTCTAAACAAAAATCTCGCTCAAAAGATTACCACCAATTAAACAAGTTAAAATATTCAAAACAATAATAGTAATTATCATTTATAAATAGATTATTTATGTATTTAATTTAAATGTATTCTAAATATTCTAAATATTCTAAATAAAAATTTATGCCACAACTACTCGCACCTCTTCTTCCTCCTTCTCGTTCTTTTAATTCCTCTCCTTCAACCACCCTCTTCAATCTCCCTCTTCAATCTTCAATATCCTCTTCAACATCCCCATCATCTTCATTAACACGTGAAATTCTTTTTTGACATTTTTTAACTTCCAATTGCCAATCAGTAGTTATAACTGCTAAAACTAACCCTAATCCCATAATTAACGATCCTACAATTACTCCTATCCAAAGTCCCTTCAATCCATACGAAAATCTAAATGCTAATATCAAACTTAACGGCATTCCTATCAAATAATATGACGTTAGGTATATTGTTGCCACTATGTCTTGTCTTCCTTGACCACGAAGGATTCCTATAATTCATTGTTTTTAGCCGAGCTGTGTTATTCAAATAATAAATAATAAATAATCAATTAAGCTTTACCTGACCCAACTACTCCTAATCCATCTGAAATCTTTATAAAAAAATTTTGTTTTTTTTTTAATTATATCTGATCGCTATTTTTTTTTTCCAATCTCCATCTAATAAAAAATTTACCTGAAGTAAAACACAATATGGCAAAACTGTCGAAACTAATGATACTACTTCTCCATCATTAGTAAATAAATATCCTAAAGAATCACTAAACATTAATAACAAAGTGCTGTTAAAAGCAGCTCCTAAAACTGCAAGTACTAACGAACTATTTGCCGTCACTCTAGCTTTATTTGCTAATTTTGCTCCCAAAAAATTGCCTATTCTATTCGAAGTTGATATGGAAATACTATGTGGCAATTGATACAACAATAGCGCAATTGTTAGAATTAGTCTGTGTCCGGCCAATGGTAAATTTCCGAGATATCCTGCCGCTAATGCCAAAAATTCATAAACCTTGTTTCATTTTTTTTAAATAAAAATAAAAATAAAAATATTATTATCATCATCATCATCATCATCATTATCATTATCATCATTATCATACGTCCCATACACAATTACATATCCATTAAAAAAATTTTTTAAAGAAACATACCCACCAATCTGCAAGTGATGTTAAAATACCAGGGACAGCAAGTTTTAACAAAGGAGACCAATCTTGAAGACTTTCACTAGACCATCCACCCCAACCTTCACTACCATCAACATATTTAACATAAAATATTGAACAGATCATCATTAACCAATTAGTTATGGAGATTGCTATTGGAGCACCAATAAAACCCAAAGCTATCGGTTCCCACAAAACCAATACATAATTTAGTATGAGACTTATTGGACAACAAAACATCAGAATATAAGTTGTCGCCTTCATAATTCCTATAACCATTTTGTGTTCAAAAGAAAATATTTATAAAATTATTATCAATCTATTATTATTTCCAATTAATTAATTGAAAAAAAATAACCTTGAGCCTGGAGATATTTCTCAATACACCAAAAAATTAAACATGGAGGTACACCCAATAACAAATAACGTAGATATATCTCTGATTTCATTGACAATTCAACATTTTGTCCCAAAAACCCAAGAATTGTTCCTGCATTCCACCATGTAATAACCGCAAATGGAACAATTCCAACTAGAATTATTATGATAGCACGTTGCAAGTATATCCCTATCAACTTTGGTCTTCTTGATGAGAAACTTTGTGGAAACAATGTATCTAATGCCAACGTAAATCCGAATCCAATTGACCACACAGTTACTGCTGCGTACTACACGTGATTAAAGGTGTTAAACAAACACTAGTTTTTTATTTTTTTCATGCATATTTTTTTACTAACCATGGATCCTAAAGCAAGAGCAGCAAGTTCTGTTGATCCCTTAAAGAAAAAGATGTAATCAATCAATCAATAATTAATTAATTAATCGATTAATCAAATAATTGATTCAATTCTTTCATCATTAATTACATATTATCTTATTACCATATGTCCCAAGGCGGTCACACTAAAAGCTTGTAGAGCATATTGTAATAGGAATGCCAATAATGCTGGAAATGCTTGTTTTAGTAAATGAATTGCTTCATTAAAATCATACTTTATAACGTCATGATCATTGGCGTAATTATTATGTGATAACAGCAAACTTGTGACTTCATCAGTATTAATGTTAGTATTTGAATTATTATAATTATTTAGATTATTATTATTATTATTTGGGTGATCAAAATTTAATGTAGACATTGTTGGAGGTTTATTTTGACTGGTGATTTTTATTTGTTTCTTGTGTTCCCTTGGATGAGGAATTTGGAGTCTTTTATATTTATTTTGTTTATTTTTATTTATATTATTATAGAGTAATCCAAATATATTATCTATATCGGATATTTGATTTTGTTACACCACCTCATCATCTCATACATTCATACAAATATTTTATTATTGAACATTTTTAATTTATAATAATAATAATAATAATAAATATTAATATAATATTATATCGAGAGAATCTCGTTCATAATTTATCTACTTATTAATATTAAATGGAATTGGAGTTGCAAGTAAACATGAAAAGAATTATAATTCATAATGGTCATAATGGCAATATTGGAAACGTCGTTGATCAGAACAATAACTGGAAAAGAACACCATCTTTACCTTTTGAGCTTCTCAGGTATATTTTTTCACTCCTTGGAGAAAATAATATGAAATCATTACATTCTTGTCTCCTTGTCAATAAACAATGGTGTAATTCAGCCGCTACTATTTTATGGAGAAGGCCATTTGAACTTTCATCAATGTTAGATTCAGCAAAATTAATTTCAATTTACGTAAAGTTTTTTTCAGATAATGTTAAACGATATTTATTTAACGAATTAAGTATAGAAATAGCACCATTTACATCATCATCGTCATCATCACAACCCAGTTATAACAATGCACCGCCATTATTAGACTATTTAGCTTATTTAAGACAAGTAGACTTTAAAAAAGTTTATAAAGCAACTAGATTTTGGTTAAATTTGCCAAAGAAAAGTATGGAGGAACCGTTTGGAATTTCGGTAAAAAGGAGACAAATCAATCAAGCAAATGCGATCGTGAAAGAATTAGGAATATTATTTTTAAATTTTGCTCAAATTAATAATTTAACGATTGATATTAGAGATTTTGATTATGATTTAGCAACAGATATTCATGATTGTATTTCTTGGCCAACATATCCTTTACTTAATCGGAATAGTTATTACAATAGTAGTAATGAGAATATTGAAATTAATGACGAGAACATTGAACGTGATAATAGCACTATTACTGTTAATAATACACATAATGCTAGTAATGAAGTGGTATTGAGGTCAGAAATTCGAGAATTTTTATGTGCGGGACAATTTGATAAAGACAAAATTTTAGAGGAAATGACACCTATATGCAAAGATATTGAAATCTTAAGTTTACATGACTCTAGTGGTACCTCATCAGATTCATTAGCAAATTTTATAATGGTTCAAAAAAGATTGAAGAAATTTATTTTAACAGATTGGCATTTGAACACTCAAAATATTTTCTCTGCTATTGCAACACAATCAAAAACCTTAAAACATTTTGAAATTATAAATTGTAACTTGCCGATAAGAGTCGTTGACAAGATAAATGAATATAAAGATTGGTTGTTTGAAAATTTAACAAAATGCCACAAATTAGAATTTTTAAAAATAGAAAAATGTCGAAATTTATCATCAATAGTAATGGAACCTTTAGCAAAAGTTGGATTAAAAAATCTAAAAGTTTTAATTATCGACAACTATATTAACGATTATAATGATGATGATTGGGATTGGAATTGTTATTATTTCAATGACAACAACAACAACAACAACTATAATAGTTATAATTACAATTATAGGAATAAAAACAACGACAACATCTTCAACAATAAGCCTCCAGTATCAGAACTACAATCACTAATAATAAAATCACACGATACATTGATTGAAATTGATTTAAATGTAAATTTAAAAATTCATACAAATATTCTAGAAACAATTGGAAACAATTGTTCGAATTTATCAAAGCTAAGTATAGCAATTACAGGAGACCAAGAATTAAAAAATTTGATAAGATTATTTGAAAGATCTTTGTTAAAAAAATTGGTTGAATTGAGAATACAAAGAAAAAAGGAAACTTTTTCCAATACCGCCTTAAGAAGCACTTCAACACATTCAACGGTATTTGAAGTCAAACAATCCCTAATTGAATTAGGGAATAGTTTACCATCATCAATAAAATACATAGAATTGAATAGTATGATGTTTAATTATAAGAGCTGGGAAGAATTTCTAAATGTTTGTCCGACTTCTATTGAACATTTAGCATTCAATACGATGCAGGATCAAACTAAATACAAGAATTTAATTGAAAAATATGCAAAAAAACATGACAAGCGCTTAAAATGCAAAGATTTAAGTGAATATTCATGGCTATCACCAAAATATATAATGGTTGATTTGTTTTAATTTTGGCCTTTGCCAAAATAAATTGTGACGAAATGTATAATATGGTATTAGACAACATTGTATGTTACGTATTCAATAATTATATTGGTTAGATTAGAAACTTTAGGGTAATTTTATAATGGATATTATATATATATAATTAATTTTTTTGTCAATCAATACATATTAATTTTGTTTTGCTTTATTTGATTTACGTGTAATATATTTAATTTTTATTATTATTATTTTTTTCAATTAATTATTTAGTTTATATAAAGTTTAGATTTTTAAAAAAAATTCTTCAAATGTTTAATGATATTTCATCCCAAACAATGGATGGACTTTAAGTTCTTATTAAGAT